AGGCACCATAACGGGTACCTCTTTGAAAACCACATACATCATCCGTGCCACATCTTGGGACATGACGAAAGCCTCACTACTGCAGTAATCTGGGTAGTACTTTTCTGGGTACTTGCTAAGAGGGACAAATTCCTGGCTGTTAGGGTCTCTGTTAGGCGTATCCTGATGGATAACTCTTCCTACATAGATATCTTCAAGGTGTTCTTTCAGGTTGAGAAGATAATCTACCAAACTTGGTAGATTGACAAACATCTCGTCATCAACCTTGAGAATGAACAGGGCATTAGGGCAGAAAGTCACGGCCCACTGTGTCATTGTGATAGTCTTCAGGGTTTGGTTCTCAGCACTGTCCAAAAAGATTCCCTCAATTATATCATTATTCTTATGAGACTCTTTGTCTATCTCTTGCTGGATAGTTACCAAATTAGGCATTCCCAAAGCAAACAGTGTAAGAATGGGGTGCCCTTGGACACTGGTCACATTACCCCAGGTCTTCCTGATGACGTCTCGTCTTGTTCGATTTCCTGGGCTACTGAAGATAAGAGAGAGCAAAAATACGTTCTTCCCTTTACACACATCTGGTTGGCTCAAGATGTAATATTTGGAAAGATTACTTTTTAGGGGCTCCATGTTCAATTTTCTTGCCTTGTCCTTAATTTCCAGAACTTTCATGTCTACATAAGGCAAAGCATGCAGAAAGTATTCTTCCACAAAATCAGCCCCAAAAAGCAAGGCATGAAATAGGATAACGTTAAACAGAATGAAACACCACTGGTGAGTCCGAAGACTGCAGAATGTCACCTAAAAAAGAAACAAACACACGTTCGTTCAACCTTCATCTCCACTTCTGTTTTTGCCCCCACTGAACACTTTTTAGTGCTTAGTGGGTGGCACATTATTTTAGGAGTTTATTATTTCTTTTTGTTAATCTCTCTCCAACTAGATTGTGGCCTTCTGGAGAGCAGACATCACGCCCCTGTCTTCTCCAGTGCTGCTGAGTTCAGTGTCTGGCACAAAGTGGAAACTGAATAAAAGGTTGGTTGGCTGTTTTCTTGCCTGTTTGGATGAAGACCTGGTTACTATATACAAGGCTCTATGTTAAACACTGGGGAAGCAAAGAGGAATCCGACATAGATACATGCATATAAAGTAACAAGTGGCATCATTGTGCTAAAAGCCTATAGGAAAATACATGATATTCTTCCTGGAATTGAAGCACTTGGATCAGTTTCTTCTCTAATTACAAAGGTCAAGAGCTATTTTTCAATGATGTGGTTACTTTTGTTGGCCACTGTACAATGGCTACTATCAAACATTTACATTCTTCCAGTATGACTTTTCAATTTAATCTAATACTGAATTCCGACCATCTATTTTAACGATGTCCTTTAATCCATCTGACATGTTTGTCAATGTGGGCAGATCCGTGCCTGCTATCTGCTTAGCACCGCTTCAGAGATCTGGGACGCGCGTGTGCCAGAGTTCCACCACTTCATCCAAGGAGATGGAAACTTTCCGTCTAAAAGAGCATATGCAGTCTTGTAATATAATAACTATGGGACATTAAAGGAATTGAGTCTTTGTTAATTGAAGCTTTGATCAACAAAGCCTCCCATAATAATAGTTACCTTTTTTTTCTGAACACTTGTGGGCCAGGCACTGTGCAAAGCACTTTATATGCAGTGGTAATATCCCTCTCAGATTTTCTTCAAAATTAGATTGAGTGTCCAAGCTGTTTAATAATTTTCCCAGTGTCATTCAGTGCATAAGAGGGTGGGGTATGGCCATGATTTGTGCTCAAGTATGTCAAATTCCAAAGCTCACTCTTAACCACTAGAGAATCCTGACTGCCATCTTTTACTTTTCTATGTCTGTCAAATAGGAAAAAAAGAAACAAACCGAATTCCTGAAATTATAATCTGAACTCCTTTCCATTTTCTCAGTGCTGGTTATTTGTACACAGAAGAAGCTCCAGCCTTGTCAAAAGTTTATTATAATAGATAGCAAATGCTTCAAAGATTATAAGAAACTTACCTGCATGTTGTCTGTGAGCAATTTTCAAGGCCTTTGAAATTACTGAGTCCAGATGGCAAATTATGCCCAAATGTATCTCAGGATCATGCCAGTCTTAACAGCAATGGAAGCAAAGTACGTTGTGCCTCAGACTTTAAGGATAAGGTTTCTGGCCAATCCTCCTGAGCTTTTGTCCCAGAATATCTGATGGGTGTATAGGAAAGCAAGTGCTGGTCATGTTACAGCTAGAATGAATCCAGAACAAAGAGAGAGAGAAAAAAAAGCAAACCTCTTCAAATGCTTCCAGACTTCTGTACCTCTTGAAACCGAGCCCTTGCCTTTATGCCAGTTCCTGGTAAGGGACACATGGGAGCTGAGTTGAAAGAACAGTTCACCCACATGACCTCTCCGGAGCATCATCACACAAGGAGAAATGTCCTAGAGTATGTTTGGAGTGCATCTCAAGAAACTAAACAGTTGAAGAAGTTCCTGCCCCTCATAGATGCACATGCAAGAAATGTACTAAACATCAAGGAATATGTGTCATACAAGAGGGTGCAATTTTTCTCCCCAAAGAAACAAATGGTGAGGTTTGGTGCATGTGTCATGGGGCAGGAGTTTGAATTCCCAGTGTAGGCTTATGGAAGAACTTTACTAAACCAATTATATGTCATTCAACTCCCTCTCCCAGGGAACTATCTCAAAATTGAAAACAGCATGTAGTCTCTTTTAGCTTGAATTTAAGAGACTGAGCATTTGATGTTTTAGCATTAGCTATTCTTCTAGAGCATATATAGGTAGGATTTTAGCCCAAACATCATTTCTATCAGCAAGTTTATTTTCAGGAAAGAACAAGATCCAGCATATTTTCATGTTTGCTATTTACATAAGCTGTTGTAATGAGCATTCTGGTCTCAGACCAGGCTATATTTCCTCTCTTTTCTTTTCACATATTGATCTTCCTACTTGCTATTTAAAGCAGCTTTTGTAATTATTTGACTAGGAATAACTCATTACATTTAAAGTTGTCTATGTTTTTCTCAACAGTCATTGCTCAATCTTGGAAATTTTTTACAAAGTGAGAAAACCTAACTTCAAATACCATTCAAATGAAAGGGATTTTTAAAAACATATACTAAATCTAATAATTAAATAGGTCTTATAGGTATTTAATTAAAGACATCCTATTTTGCAATTTTCATTTTTATTAGAGCCATAAATTTTGCTCTTGGGTCTTCTCTGGTCTTAAACTTACAGGATTTGATTTCTTTGTCCATAAGAGGTTCAAACAATATATTGTCTCTGGTGCAGCTCCATCTGGAATTTCCAGTTTCATTCATCAAACTCCTACCATATTTACTGCAAATATATAGAGGTGCTTGGTTTTCTTGATTACCTTAGAACTGCCTTCTCTTTGATAGATGTTATCTGATCTGTGTACCCACATCTTCCTAAATGCTGTTACAATGTTGTCAACAGTGACTGTGTCTTAGAAGCCTGCAGAGGCTTCCTGTTGCCTACTAAATCAAATTTGCCCTCCTGAGACCCGACTTTGAGGGCATCATACTTGGCTCCACCCAACATGGTCAATTTTTTAAATTTGTTCCAGTACCCTAGATGGCCTCAGGCTATTTGGACTCAGCCACATGTGGCTATTTAAATTTTGATTAATTAACTTTTTATTTCCTCTATCACAATAGGTAATTTTCAAGTGTTGATAGGGACAAGAAGCTACTGGCTGCCCTATTGAAAAGCACAGATAGAGAACAACATTGCTTAAAGTCCTTTTGAGCGGTGTTAGTATAAAATGCATGCAAATGTATGTGTCTGTGTGTGTGCACGTGTATGAAGTGTCGGAGCTCTTATAGAGACACAGGTACCTTATGCTCTGAAGGGCGCCTGTGTTGAAGTCTTTTGACCTGGATTTTTCCATCTCTAAAAATGGAGCTGATAACAGTAACCACCAGCATGTAGGGTTGTGGTGGGAATTGAGTGCTATAACATAAACATGGGCTAAAAGAGTACTTGGCACATAGAAAACACATGGTTTTGATTCTTGACACTTAACAGTTTGTTTCATCTCCTTAGTCCTCAGAACAATCACATGAGGAGGGTACTCTAACTGCTATGCAGATGAGGGAAATAAAGCCAGAGAGCTTAAGAAACCAGGTCATGGGCACGGCCAGAGTGTATGAGTTGGGATTCAAATGCAATCATCTATTCTACTGCTCTTCTTCCTCTCACCAACCCCCTTACCTTCCTTAATTCTTCTCCTTAGCACGTCTTGAAGTTTGCATCCTGTCTTACTTAGTTTGCCTGTCTCTTCCATTGGAGATAAGCCCCAGAAGGTCAGGGATTTGGGTGCTTTTTATTTACTAACCCTTGAACAGTGTTTGGGACATAATTGCTGCGCAATACGTTGTTTGACTTTGGACACGTCTCTTAACATCTCCTACCTCTCTTCCATAAAATGAGGATAAGAGAAAAAGTGCCCCAGAGTCGAAGCAAGAGCAGATTGGATGAGGGACCTGGACGTAACCTTTGGACCAGGCTCCACAACAGTCGCGAGGGCCGTACTGCGCATGCCCCGCCTCGCACACGTACTCCTCTGCCCTCCCACTTCCCCCTTGAGGCGGGGGCCGGAAGTGCAGCCGTGTCCGGTGGGCGCCGAGGGCGGAGGGACGCGCGGAGATGACGCAGGCGACACCGGATGCCTCTCCCCTGCGAGGTTGCGGACCGTGAGCGGCGGCCGCTGGTCCAGGTCTGTTCCGTGTACTAGGCGGGGCCGGGCCGGGGAGGGGATTTTTCAGGCCCCCAAGCCTGTGCTGACCGCCGCGCCTTCGGCCGTTTGTCTCTTTTCTCCCTACAGGCGCCATGGCTGTGGAGCGGACCCGGCCGCTGCGAGGCTCTGGTGGCCCGAGCGCGCCTAGTCGGTGTGAGCCCGGCGCGAGGTCCCGGGCCCCGGGGCGCTCGCTCAGGTCAGTGCCGCGTGGAACACGGCTCCGGGAGCCGGGGACCTGGGAGCGAAGAACGGGTTGAAGGGATCTGGCGTTGATGTTAGACATGGGAAAATTGAGCCTCGGAGTTACTGCCTCAGTTTCCTTAGCTACGAAATGAGTTTAACGATGATGGTCCAGGGCTGCCCTGAGTTTGAAAGATGAAGTGTTGAGAGGTGGTGTATGAAGTACAAGCTCTGTACTAATGTGAGGGACTGCGCCATAGTTGTGGGTATGCCATGGAAACAGGTGTGTATGTGAGGTTGCTGCTTGACATAAATGTTACTATTAATGCTAAATAATAATGGTTACTGGCATTTCTTGTGGGCTTACCACTGTGTCAGGTACGGTGCTAAACGGTTTCCATACGTTATCCTATATACAGAAACCCTTGTGGGCAATGCAGTTCGTGGTCACTACTCAATTTTGCAAGGGAGGAAACGGGGCTTTTGAGATGGGTGAAGTGATTTGCCCAGGGTCACCCCGCAACAAGTGGAGTTGCAGAGCCCTTATTTTATTCTACTTTGCTCTTTCAAAGCTTTTAAAAACTCATCTTAAACTAAAGGTGGCTTCTAAATAGATAGTATAGTCACATGGTTTTAAATTTAAAAAGGGCTCCTGACCCCTGTACCTCAGCTCTTCAGTTTCTCCGGAAGCAGCCAGTGTCGCCAGCTTCTTGGATATTGAAAAGATGGCCTGTGTCCGTGAAAGCCTCTGTGCTGTTTAAGTGCTGGGCAAGAAAGGGAAGATGGGGCCTCCTCCCCCAGAGCAAATGTCGTGCTTTCACTCTTGACTAGTCCAGGTCCCGGTGGACCACAGGAGCATGCATTCGCTCTGTTTTATCCAGAATGCATCTCTAATAAGACCTCGAGGTAGAGGCTTTGTTTGGTTTTGAGAGAATGGCGGCTGGGCAAGATGCTCAGCCTGCTGTTTTCCTGTGGCACTGGGCACTGCACTGCTTGGGCCATACATTTCCTCATGTACTAGTTAAGGGCAGTAGTGCTGATACCTTCTACAAGGTTGTGAAAATCAAACGAGGTAATGTCTACAAGTAGACATTAAGCCAATACAAACATGAGAGTTGCCTGAGGAAACATGGGGGTTAATGGCAGAAGCAGAGACCAAACCCAGGTCTCCCGTCTCCCAATTTGTGAGTCTTTTGATTACACCACCCATTCTAGAGCTTTGTGATTATTCATATTGAGGGCGGGGGGGGGGCAAGTTTAATATGTAGTCTGAAGTGGAAGGGGAAAAGGGGCAAGACAGCATGCGTGTGGTTAGAGTGGAGAGAAAAATGCACCTACGAGGAAACGGTAGCCTCAAGTCCATAACTGCCCTTAGTTATCAAATGAAACTCCCAGTAAGTTTGAGCCACTGAGTTTTTCTTTCATGTATCTTAAGCCATGTTAAGAGAAACTTTGTGATGAGATCATAGAGTTCGGAAGGATATTAATGGTCACATCCCTTTCTGCCTCAGGGCCACTAAAAGCTTTCCTGCCAGGTATTTATCATAGTAAAACAAACAAAAAGTGTCATTTGAATTATTCTAGATGGGGCTCTGTGCTAACTAAGCATGTCCCTCTGATTCTCCCAGTTCTCAAGATGAATAATAGCTTCCAATTTACAGCTGACAAAATTGAAGTTTATAGTTAGTTGAACCTGCCCAGGATCATGTAGGAAGTGGCTGCATCTGTAAAAGATCTGACTGACTCCAGAGCATTTTCATTTACCTCATTTTACCTTCAAATCCAGGTGTCTTTGACTTCCCTGAAGCTCACCACTCTGCAGGCAGCCCTTCCGTTATTAAAGCTCTGATTATGTAAAAGCTCCTCCTGGTGTTGAATTGAAATTCCATTTCCTGAAGTTGCCCCCTTGGGGCCTTGTGCTGCCAGTACATAATATTCCTAGAGCCTCTCTAGAAGAGTTCAGTTTAGACTTACGGCCTTACAAAAGTTTCCTCCAAAGTTAGTTGATTTTTTTCAAAAAGTAAAAACTGTTGTTTTTATCATGCGTTCTGCTGGGTAATGGGTCTGCTTTATTGAAATAAAGATGCCTTTTTCATGACAGTCGAAGATAAACTGGAAGAACAGCCACCCATGAGGGGTTCAGTAACTTGGAGGGCAATCTCTAATGTAAAAATTGGAAAAAAGAATTCTTAGGAGTTAGGAGAATATATAAATCTCAGAAATGGCTGTGTTTTTTTTTTAACAGGGCTCATCCTCTGTGGTGTCATGGGCACATAGCATGCTGTAGGATGTCTCTTAGTTATTCATGAATGGTGGGAATGCCATAATGTTATCATGAGTGTTACAGATTTGTCTGGTGGCCATTTACATAGCAGTTCAGCTTACATACATGCAAGCATTCTTATGATATAGTGTGGCATATTTTGTGTATGTGTGTAGTGTAAAGGTGTAGGTATTAGAGGAAACGCTTGTCCCCCCCCCCTTTTTTTTTTTACTGTAAATAACAATTACAAGTCCGGTATTTTGGTGTTTAATTAATAATTAGCTGTTGTGACATTGAGTGAATGTTCACAGAAAATGAGCCTATTTGTCTTGCTGTAAATGATGGTTTTTTAAGCATAACATTTTTAGAAATGTTATAGGTAGAATATTAGGATTGAGAAGTAAGAGACTTGTTATCTTGTGTTGATAAAACTTGTGGTGAACTGATTATTTTTTGGCATCCAAGTAAATCCCTAAATTAATAAATCCTACCTAGCCCAGACTCTGAGGCTTCAAGAGTATTATTTTAACATCTGGTCACTGCTCTAAAAAACAAAACTAGATGAAGTGCTTGGAACGGTTTGGCTGCTTCTCCTGCTTTTTTGCCCTGTGACATTCTTGCCAAATTTTATATTGGGGAAATGAATGAAAATGTTTTTTTCTCACCTTAGATTAACAAAGTTGGAAGATGAGATCTGGCTTTGTGAATAGACCTGATCTAGGGGACATACATAGAAAGGAATTTATTTTCCTCTTCCAAAGTAATTTGGATATAACACTTTAAAAATTAGTATGATAGTCTGGTGAGAACCTGATCAGATTAGGAGGACAGGTTTTTCCTTTCTTTAATCATGGAACTGTTTAAACATAAAAATAAAGAGAATAATAAACCTTCACCCAGCGCTAACATTTATCAACATATGGCCAATATTGGGAAAGATGATTTTTACTGATTTGCTTTGCTTTTGTTCTCTTTCTGTTAGTCTCCATTGTTAAGAGTGATTTGACACCTTGACGCACTGTGTAATGCTGGATACTTGTAAAATTTTTTTGTTGTAGTTAGCCCTGGAGCAATTTCTTTTTGTAAGGGGCAAGGCGGCATAATCAGATAGGCACAGTGCGCCCAGATCTTGTTACCAGGTTGAGATGCTCCTGGTTGTAGCTAACTTCAGAGGGAGACAGCCTGGTGTGGTCCGAAAATTACTGATCTTGAGAGAAATGGCCTCAAGTCTGTTCTATTTTAGCTCTGGTGACTATAGGCAAATCACTTACTTTCTCTGACCTATAACTTCCTTATAGACAAAGTTGAGATTATGATACCTGGTTTTCAGTGTTTTGTAAGTCTCAGAAATACTAATTTGACTTGTTCAGGCCTCTAGGACCCACATTGCTCTGGGGCACATGATTGAAAGTTGTCACCAGCTCATATTAGGCTTCTAAAAACAGACTGTGTGAGGCCAAATAAGGCCTTTGGTAATTCATGTTCTAACAGGCAGTATCGCAAAGGAAGTGGAAGAACCAGAATACCTGAGCCACGTAACTTATTAAATCTGCCTATTTTTCTCCCCCAAACCTTTATGCCTGAATGTCTTTTGCAAAAGCCAGTAATCAGTTCTGTGATTTTGGTAACAGGTCAGGTCGTTCTTAGCATGATAACTAATATCTCAGGTTTCTGCTTCAGACTTGCTTTTGGATTGTCACATCATGGTGTTTATTTTTGTGATTTTAATGCCTAAATAGGATATGATTAGAAAATTGTGTTGTGATGGTTTTGGTGAAGGAGTGGTGTATAGAATATACTGTTTAATAATGAATGAATGCTTTGTAAATCTCTGTGAAAATGCATGTAGCATGTGCTGGACTTCAAAAGGAGCAAGTCACACAGCAACATAAGTTTCATTGACTTATGTTTCTGAGATCATGATTTGTTAAACAATGTTTTTTCAAATGTATTATCTTTCGTGCATGGGAAAAATATCAGATACAATGTATTAACTGTATAGTTGTAATGTAGCAACTAAGCATAAATTTGTAATGCCAGATTTTTGACACTAATTTTTGATACTTCATTTGTTAGCAGTCTTGCTTGAAGGTCTTTTTGAGCAGAACTAATACAATATTTTGATGTGCCACAGGTAAATTTTTCCATAACCTTATGGAGAGAAAGGACTTTGAGACATGGCTTGATAACATTTCTGTTACGTTTCTTTCTCTGACGGACTTGCAGAAAAATGAAACTCTGGATCACCTGATTAGTCTGAGTGGGGCAGTCCAGCTCAGGCATCTCTCCAATAACCTAGAGACTCTCCTCAAGCGGGACTTCCTCAAACTCCTGCCCTTGGAGCTCAGTTTTTATTTGTTAAAATGGCTTGATCCTCAGACTTTACTCACATGCTGCCTCGTCTCTAAACAGTGGAATAAGGTGATAAGTGCCTGTACAGAGGTGTGGCAGACTGCGTGTAAAAATTTGGGCTGGCAAATAGATGATTCTGTTCAGGACGCTTTGCACTGGAAAAAGGTTTATTTGAAGGCTATTTTGAGAATGAAGCAACTGGAGGACCATGAAGCCTTTGAAACCTCATCATTAATTGGACACAGTGCCAGAGTATATGCACTTTACTACAAAGATGGACTTCTCTGTACAGGTAAGAGACCCTGGAATTTTTCTTTAAAAAAAATTTACTTACTTATTTTTAGAGTGGGGGAAGGGAAGGAGAAAGAGGAAGAGAAACATCAGTGTGTGGTTGCCTCTTGAGTGCTCCTTACTACAGACCTGTCCCGCAACCCAGGCATTCGCCCTGACTGGGAATTGAACCGGCCACCCTTTGGTTCTCAGGCCATCATTCAATCTATTGAGCCGCACCAGCCATGGCTTTTTTTTTCTCTATCATGGATGTTTTGGGGGGAAACCAGTGGAAAAAGGTGTGTCTAGTCCAAGCAAGTATTTAGATTATCTTGAAAGAATTATGTAACCTCTCTGTTTTCTTCCTTGTCTTTACTGTATAGGAAGGGAGGTGTTTTTTTCTTGCTCTAAATTCCTGTGGTGCTAAGAAGAATTAGAAGTTAAGAGTTTGGGCATGGGAACGAAGACAGTTAGATATTTTAATTTTTATTTATTGATTTTTAGGGAAATCAATAGAAACATCGATTTTGTTCCATTTATTTATGCATTCATTGGTTGCAGTTTGTATGTACCCTGACCAGGATCAAACCTACAATCTTCGCTTATCGGGACTATGCTTTTTAACCAACTGAGTCAGGGCTGACAGTTGGGTATTTTAAAACTAGGCAATGAAGTTAATCATTAAAATTTAGAATTATGTATCTATTCCCCATTATAATGGATATGTGTTTCTGCATATTATTAACAGTGCCCACAATTTAGGTAATGCTTTTCGACAGACATTGTAAATGATTCTTAGGCAGTGTTTCAAATGCCTCTCAGCAGCTCTCATCAATAATCCCAATGCCTTTTAACTTCCATCGTGTGTATTATATAGAGATACTCTCTGTTCTTTCTTCATCCAAGATAATTTCTAATAAACATTTAGCTGCCATTCTTAATAGTACATACTTTTCCTTTGTGTAAATATATCATCATCATCTAGCCATTTCAATATTAGTGCACATTCTACTTTTATTAATATTTTAATGAAATCATTTATAAATATAAAACTATATTGTAAATATATGTATGAATATAAACATATTAGTGAAAGTGCATATTCTACTTTTATTAGGTTATTTCCACTTTTATGAATATTTTTGTTTGCATTGGGTTTTTTCCCCTTGAGTTATTTATTTGGGGCAGAAGCCTCAAACTAGAATCACCAGATCCAGAAATATGGATGATATTATAGCTCCTCTTGGTGTCCTTTCCAGACAGGTGGAATTAATGCCATGCCTACAGCAAAGTGTTAAATAATCTGCTCCTTCCTCACAGTTCTTACCAGCCTTTAATATTTTTAATAGTTAAGAGATATGTTCTTTCTCATGATTGTTTTAAATTTTATTTTTTATTCATTGAAGATATACATTTTCCTGTGGAGTTACGTTCTCTGAAATACTAGACACTTTGTTTTATAAAATAAACATTAAATTTAAGGCGTCTTCTGGTTTGGTTTGTCATACTGAAGTTACTCCATGCTTACTTTATTTTTATAACATTGTCTGTTCTTCTGTACTTTGATGTAATTTCTGAGTTGTGGTGATGACTTTTCCATGTCCTTTGATCAATGTCATGATCAATGGTGGGCATTTCAATTTCTTTCCAAAAGGTTAAGATGCAGTATTAGCCTTGAGCTTGGCACTCATTTGCACTTAGGTAAATACTGGTAGCCGACTCACTTCAGAAACACCTGTAACTTTTTAAAAAAATTTCTCACCAAACTTTACTTTTGAAATACAAAAACTTCAATTACTTGGAGCAGGAATAAATGGGATACATTCACTGACTTCTTTACCCCAAAAGTTAATATTTACAATAACTGAATCCAACCCCGCATTTTAAGATTATTCTCTAGGTGGGTCTTTATGTTCTGTTGTTTTTATTCTGAACACATTAAGTAGGTTTGTATATTGAAAGTCATGCTTTGTCTCTTGAAAATGACCCAAAGCATTAGTTTAATTTTTCTAACATAGCATTCCTGGAACTGTTACTAATGACAGAAGTATTTGTTTTAGAATTATATAGGCATACCTCATTTTATTGACCTTTGCTTTATTGTGCTTGACAGATATTGCCTTTTTTTTTTTTTTAACAAATTGAAGGTAAGACCCTCTGCCTGCAAAAGAAAAGATTATGACTCACTGAAGGCTCAGATGATGGTTAGCATTTTTTAGCAATAAAGTATTTTTAAATTAAGGTATGTACATTGTTGTTTTTAAGGCACAGTGCTATTGCACACTTAATAGACTATGATATACTGTAAACATAACTTCTATATCCACTGGGAAACCCACAAATTTGTGTAACTCACTTTAGTGCAGTGATCTGGAACCAAGCCCGCAATGCCCTGAGGTGTGCCTGTCCAAGTGTTTGTGTCACCTTGTTTCTTAAGAGCTTGTGTTTTTTCTCTGGTTGAATTGGGAAATTCTGAATTTAGAAATAAGCTTATAGTGGCTCTTGGATTAGGCCCTTGAACAGCAATAAAATAGTATTTCCAAAATGATTGATGGCTAATGCTAAAATTAACATGATATGGATAGAATGAGGTGATTATCCTGCTCATTTCTGAAATGGTAAGAAAGGAACCTTTTGTGCCTTGTGCTGTTCACTAGATATTTACTTATAAAATGCATTCGGTGTGAAAGACAGTGTTAAGGCGTACATAGATCAACTGGAGCAGAGAACGTACACACTGGGGTCAGGAAAGTAACTTGGTTAAGTCAAGTCTCCGCTCCGTGTGGACTATGGCTAATCAGAGAGCACCTGCCCTCCAGGTGTGTGGCTGCTGCCCCACTGCAGTGAATTGTTGCCGTGAGGGATTCGGGCCCAGAGTTGTCAGATCTGACTTGTAAGACAAGCCTCACATCTAGATTTTTGTGAAATATCTTGATTTTTTTTAAAGTACTGATTTTTAAGTATTATTCATATTTGAAAAATATTGTGATTGGGTCATATTCAACCTGCAAGCTGCTGTATTGCAACATCTTGTTTATAGTCAAACAAGAAAAGCAAGAGCTATAAAAGAGATATAATTAAATGATATAGTTAAAATGTGTAAGAAGAAATTTCATGTAGTTGTTCAGAAGGAGTGAGTTCTTCCATTTGAAAAAGTTGAGCAGTGTGTTTATTTTGAGTCTTGAAGAATGGGTAGACTTTAGAGAGATAAGGTTCAAAGCAGAGGCCTTTGAATAGGAAGATCAGCATGAACAAAGATGTGACAGGGCTAAGCACGGAGCATGTGGGAAGAAAATACAGTTCATTTTAGGTGGATCCTTAGGATATAAGTGGGGGCTCTGTAGGAGACTCTTAGAAAATAATGAGGAAATAGGCTTGGACTGTGTTGTGAAAGCCTTGCATGCTGGGAACATGAATTTGGTCAGTTTTCTGTCAATAAGAAGAAACTCTGAAAGATTTCTGAGCAGAAAAAGGGCCAGGATCAGAGCTGACTACTTCAAGTAGATCAGTGTCTCTTCTGTCAGATCCAGGTCCTCTTTTTATAATATGTTTTATAATATTGTACCTTGAAGTAAAATTCATAGGAATTTATAAGTACACATATTTTAAAAATCAATACAATACCTAAGCTCTGTGTCAGAGGATAAATAAGAAGACTTAAGTTAAAATAATACACACTAAACATGTAGTGCTCAAGCACAGCTATGCTAGAAAATAGTGATGTGACCAGATGTTTGCACCTGTATGTACCAGCTGTGGACATGATAGCTGTAAACGCAGAATGTTGTATTTGTGTCACAGAACCATCAGGGGCGTGATTTCTCAAATGGTGAAAAATTCTTCGTAAACTTCCCAGCAAAGCAAAGAATATTTTTCCTCAATATGCTTAGTAGTTACACTTCTGGAAAATTCAGAATCAACTACAAGTATGCTTTGTAAAACAGGTTTTAATCTCAGATAACTAAGAATAAACTTTTCACTTAATGGATATGTGGCTAAACCTTTAAGAATGTCATACAAACTATAAGATAATTGTTTTTGTGCACTGTCCCAGTCATTGCAGTGTCCAGCATTCCTGGCCTCTGCCCAGCAGATGCCAGTAATACCCCTCCACCCCTAAATCCTTATGACAATTGAAGCCACCCTTAAGAATTTCTAAAATGTTCTCTTAGGAGATGACATTACTTGTCTGTTGAGATCCTGACAGAGAGAGAAGCAGAGGTTCCAAATTGAAGTGTTAGTCTGTTGCAGTTTATTTTATTATTTTATTTATTTTCAGTCCTCATCCAAGGATATGTTTATTGATTTTAGAGAGACAGAAAAGAGAGGGAGGGAGAGAAACACTGATTGGTTGCCTCCCATACGTACCCTAACCATGGAATTCAATCTGTAACTTAGGTATGTGCCCTGACCTGAATTGAACCTGCAACCATTTTGGTGTATGGGATGACGCTCCAATCATCTGAGCCACCCGGCCAGGGCATGGCCTGTGCAGTTTAGATGAGGGTAAATAGGCCTAGACTTAGTACAGTAAAGGTAGATTTTTAAGAGAAGCAGTTGAATGGAAGAGTAGCTATTGAAATAGAATTGACAGGATCTGGCAACAAATTGGATACATGGGGTATTACATGGCAAGGAAAAGGGAGATTTCAAAAACAGCTGAGGTTTCTAGCTTTGTGTGTACCTGGGAAGATAGGCATACTAAGTAACAAGAATGGAAAATGGGGGAATAAATTTGAGAAGGTAGTTGGAGTTCAATTTGGGATGAACTGATTCAGTTGGATATGTAAATGGAGATTCCCACAAGTATCTGGAAATGCAGGATCAGAGCTTTGGAGAGTGCTCATACAGTGAGAGAAAAGATTTAGGAGTTAGTCATCAAAGCTTTGACTACAATGGTGACATTTTAAAAGGAGTTGTAGAGAAGAATAGAGCCCAGGGTGGATCCTTGAAGAGTGTACTTAGAGAAGGGGAGAGGTAAAGGAACAGAACTGTGATGAAGAGAGTTCAAGAAGAATGAAAATTGCCTGTCTTAACGAGGGCGCAAGTAAATGTTTATTCAGTTGGTCTGCCAAGTCAAATAAATGCCTCAGAGAGAAGCAGGTGAGAGCTGAGAGCTGATTCTACAAGTTAAATATTTAAACTTAGCTTGATATGGTAGTTTACTCCATTTGTGTTCAGCTCCTTTTTCTGCTTACCGTTGTTATATAACCACCCCTGTAACTTTTTTTGTATCAGTATTGTTTTCATCCTATTTTCTGAATTGAGAGCACTTTTCTTCTCCCTTGTATCTAAAGAAAAATAGTCCGCTTTTACTTAGTCCCCTTTTGTTTCTAGGCTGCATCTTTGATGAAAACGCTGGGCTAGTAAATGCAGTACATGGGAATCCATAGGGAAGATTGACACGGAGCCAAAAAGGAGCAGAGAATAATGGCTCCTAAAGGCTTAGCAATTAAGAGTGGAATTGTACCACTGGAACTCAATCTGATTGTTTTTTGATGTATCTTTAGGATGTAAAAACAAATGGCTCAGTTTCTTCCTATATCAACTAGATTAAACTCTCCCTTTTTAAAACCAAATTGTGTTAAATATGTATAACATAAAATTTTTCACTTTAACCATTTTTAAATGTATCGTTCAGTGCCATTAAATACATTCACATTCACACCCACCTGCAGATCTTTTTACATCTTCCCAGACTGAAACTGTACTCATTAAATACTGACCCCCTATTCCCGCCTCCCCTCAGGACCTGGCAACCACAGGTCTGCTTACTGTCTCTGAATCTGACTACTCAGATACCTCGTGTGGGTAGAATCATACAGTATGTCTTTTTATGACTGACTTATTTCATTTAGCATAATATCTTCACAATTTCTCCATGTCGTAGCCTATGTCAGAATTTCCTTTTTCGGGTTGAATAATACTCCATTGTGTGTATATATATATATATATATATATATATATATATATATACCACATATTTGTTTATCCTCTTTCCTAGTATTTAGCTTTCCAGCCTCCAGTTTTGCCCACTTCAAACCATTTTCTAAGATGCAGCCATAGTGATCTTTCAGAAATGCTAATAAGGTCGTAGTTAGAGATCCTCCTGACCCAGTTCTCTAGCTGGACCCTGCCACCATCATTCTCTGTCATACTGAACCACTTTTAGAACCAGTGCCCATATTTTAGACAGTGCATTTTGACAGGCATTGTAAATAATTTCTAGGCAGTGTTCAGAATGCTTCCCAGCAGTTCTTTGTGCATTGACCCCAGTGTCTGTTCACATACATATACGTAATATATAGAGATACTTAATAAGTACTTTTAATAAGTATATGCCAGGGGTTGGCAAACCACCAGCTGCGGGGCCAGCTCCAGCAGAGCAGAATAGTTCCAAAAGAGACTGTATGGCTCAAAAAGCCTAAAACATTTACTTTCCGGTCTTTTACTGAAAAAGTTCTGCTGACCTTTGGCATATACTGTTCCTTTGGGGAAGGAGAAGTTAATTTATTCATACTTTAGATTTCAGCTAGTTTTTCTTAAATCATGGAATTCCTTCTTTGAACAATCCTATGCCAAAGCCCAGCCTAAAAACAAATATAGTACAGTTGAGGAGCCAGTCATGTCATCCCCCAGGGTGAGTTTGCAGAATACCTAGATGTTGAGGAGCACAGCGGTAAACTCTGTGGAGCTTCATCTGAGGTATTTGCTCTTTTTGTCCCTTTTTGGTACTTGCCATGGGCTTTTGTACTGCCCAGTGTGTACTGTACTGAATTATTATTGCTTGTTAAACTTTTTGTCTTCCCAAGTAGATTTAAAGTCCCATGAATGCAGGAGACAGGCCTACCTAATATAGAAGTTCTGTAAATACAGGTTGAACGAATGTATGAATGAATGAGGTCCTGTTTGAATGTTGGCAGTAAGTCAGAACCAAGGTCAGATCCTAAAATGATTTCCTGCCTTAGCCCACTAGAAATACAGTCACAAAATGCCCAAGATTAAAGATGATCGAGACCTGCACTGTCCAGTAATACAATAGCTGCTAGCCACTTAATGGCCTTTGAACACTCGAGATGTGGCGAATTCAAACTGAGATGTGAAATGTGAAATACTCATTATTGGATTTCAAAGAGAATATATAAAGTATTTTATTAATAATTTTTGTATTGGTTACATGTCGAAATTATAATTTGATATTGTTAAACTATTTTACATTTTACTTTTTCAAGTAATAGAAAAAATTTAATTAGTAATGTGGCTCCTATTATATTTTTGTTGAGTTAGCACTGTTCTAGAACGTTGGTTCTCCAAATGTTGCTCATGCATTAGAATCACTTGGCAAGCTCTTAAAACTATTGGATCCCACCTCAGATATTCTAATTAGAATTTCTGAGGGTAAGGCCTTACATATATGCTTTGCTAAAGCTCCTTATATAATTCTGATGTTTTATATACCCCGTGAGAACCACCAATCAAGACGAATCCCTTATTTTATAGAGAGGAAACAGAATCCCTAAATAGTAAAGTGACAACAAGTATAGTCTCCATTCCAGTATGTTCTCTTAAGGGTTTGCCCAGGTTAAAGTTTGTGCTCTGCCTCTTTCATAGTGGTAGCGGTTTTTCCATTTTCTGAAACAGTTGGTCAAGTGGCTCTTGACCAACCCTTAAAGCTAGAATTGTGGCTGATGTTATCTAGTCATTTTAGTTCTTGAAAACTGTTCATTTGGTGCTTTCCAGATTATTGTGTTCTTGTCATAGTGATGGTATTTGCATCCTCAAAATGTCCTTTGATTCTTATTTTCTATTCTACAGGTAAATTGTGAGATATGAACTAATCATAAGCATTTTTTTTATGTAATTAAAGCAAAGTCCTGAATTGGCACCATGATCTGTATAATATTTTCATCAGAGGCAGAAGTGAAACCTACTTTTTTCTACAGAATCTGAAGAGGCTTTATAAGCTCATTATTGAGTTGTTGAGAATGTCTGGGAATGATTTACCTGTGGTTATCTTAGAGGTTCCTTTACACATTTTGAGATGGCCCAAGAAATTAGCAGTTAACCTTTTCAGAAGTTAATCCGTGATCTAAAGCTTCTCTTTGACTTGTCTTGAGTAGAACATGTTCCAACAACAGCTTTACTATTTGACATTCTGTTTGTTCAGGGTTGCTGAGTAATGGACAAACATGCAAGTGTACACATGCCGTCATGGGTAATGCCCATCGTTTCACGCTCCCATCAGATTCATGCTGCTGAAAGATTAATGACATTTTACAAGTGGAAGCACCAATGGATGCTTTAGTCTGACATTCCTCTGGACTCTAGAAAGTTAAGGGAAAAGGGCTAAACCAAAAAGTTTGCATTCAGCACCCATGCTGTTGACACCATTTTGGTGACTCTGTGAGTCGTGTTCCCCTCTCTGCTTTGGTTTTCTCTGCTGTAAAGTGGGAGTGCGAGAGGAGGTGACCACTGAGTTCTTTAAGAACACTGTGGTTTGGAGATTGATTTTCCTTCTTCAGTGTTTTCTTACTAATCTCTCTGTTTTTCTCTTGAAGGGTCAGATGACTTGTCTGCAAAACTATGGGATGTGAGCACAGGGCAGTGCGTTTATGGCATCCAGACGCATACTTGTGCAGCAGTGAAGTTTGATGAGCAGAAGCTTGTGACAGGCTCCTTTGACAACACTGTGGCCTGCTGGGAATGGAGTTCCGGAGCCAGGACCCAGCACTTTCGAGGGCACACAGGGGCGGGTGGGTTGTCCTTTTCTAAGGCTTTCTGTGGTTATTTGAACCTCATTCCTTAAAGTCAGGAGCCAAGAATGTGATCTCATTTTTTATTCGTTTTTTAATTTAACTTGCCTTTCCCCCCTTTCTTTCTGTCATGACAGTAAATCCCTTTATTCAAGTTGTTCTTATTTGGCATCTTTTTTCTAATTTTGCCTTTTCCTTGGCCCATTTAAAACTCTTCACTCTATACCCTTATGTTGAGAGGGAGCAATTCTCCTCCTCTCCTCCTTCATTTATATCCTGTTAAACAGTCAGTCCCCTTTGCTTTGATCAGATTTCTTACCTCCAAATTGAGTAAGTCCTACAACTAAAAATTCAGTCTACTTTATTTGTAGAAATAGGGCTAAAATCCTTTGGAGTGATAGTGGTTCCCAGTTTGTGTGATCTGCACATACTACATTGAATTGGAGCTTGGTTGACAATTGATAACAAACCACTGCCTGGAGAGAAGATGAAAGAAGCATACCTAAACATCGTCTAATAATTTCACAGCAGCCTTAGTTTGCAAAAGCTGGCCATTTGATTATAGCCTGCAGACCTCAGCTCCCTCAGGGCATCGTACTTTGGAATGTTGTGAAGAAGCCCTGGTGTGCTGTTGCCCCGACTTGTGCGCAGCAGCTCTCTTCTTTCTTTTCCCATGTGCACACTGCGTTGACCCCTGAAAGAGCAGACCACGCTCTTAAGCATCACGTTTTATGAGTGGCCTTTGTCAACTTCCAAAACAGATTGAGCTCCCCTGCTATAGGTTTCCCAATAATACGTATATTTGTCATAAATAACACTCTTCATGCAAGGAAGTATGATAATCTTGATTTCCCCACCAGGTGGTAACATCCAGAAAGACGGATCTTGCCTGTCTTTTTTTTTTTCCTTACCCAAAGGCATGCTTATTGATTTTAGAGAGTGGGGAAGGGAGGGAGAGAAACATCGATTGGTTGCCTCTTGTATGTGCCCCGGCAGCAAAGGCGTGCGCCCTGACCGGAAATCGAATCTGCAGCCTTTCAGTTTATGTATGGGATGACGCCCAACCAGCAAAGCCACACCGGCCGGGGCCCTGCCTGTCTTTGCCCTTAGGTCTCAAGTTCTTGCACTGTACCTGGTACTCAGTAATTTTTTGAAATAAACCTAGCTGTTTTATGCTAAAAGCAAATTTGTTTCCCATTTCGTTTGTTATCCTATACATTTTTCCTCAGTCTGCTATCTGCTACCACTTATTTATTGTAGAAATTAATATTTGAAGATACATGATTTACCATGGAACTTCTATGTTAAACTGAGGTACTATTTCAGTGTCAAAATATACATGGACTACCAGGTGATTTTATAATGGATGAACTTTGAGAGCCCTGCTCTAAAAAAATTCCCTCCTTGCTATACCCTGGACATTGCTGTGGCTTTTCCTAACTCTATGCCTTTACTGTTCCTTCTACCTGCAATATTCTCTGTCTTTTCTTGATAAATTCTACTCATCCTTCAGGGCCCATCTCCAATATCGCCTCTTCCCTGAAGTCCTACCCTGATACCCCTGGGCAGAGTTAGTCATTCTCCTTGGTGTTTCCCTAGCAAGAGGTAAACATTTTGTTTTTTTTCTGGACTTCTTCCTCCACCACTTACTTAGACTGAGTTCCTTAAAGACCAGTGTCTTCATCTTTGAGCCACGAGTGTTTCTTTAGAATTTGGCAGACATTGAAAAACCAATATTTGAATACTTGCTGTATACTCAGGCATTGTTTTAGGTATTGGAGGTATAGTTGTGAAGAAATGCACACAGTTTTGAGGGAATGGCTTATTCTGGTCTTTGAGATCCTTGCTTGTGTTTTGTTTGTTTTGTCATTACACTGGCTTTTCTTGGGTATAGCTATTGTTTTGTAGGATATTCTTGGTATTTTGGCTCACTGCAATGAATAGTGCAAATATGACCAAGGCCACCTATGTTCATTCTATTTTCCCTGCATAAGCTAGATAAGTTTTGTATAGTATCAGGCAGATAATAATCCTGAGAAGAAATGCCATTATCTCCAACAAGAATTTTGAAATGGATATATTTTTATCATCAAATTGTCAGTTGAGTAGTACCATTCTTATCGTAGCTCTAATTTTATTAGCAATTACAAAGTTGAGCAGCTAAGGAGAATAAACACTGTTGAATTCTACTCTAAATAAGACTCAGGCATGTTTTAACTTTGTATCTGTTATATATATTAGTGTTTAGTGTCGACTACAACGATGAACTGGATATCTTGGTGAGTGGTTCTGCAGACTTCACTGTGAAAGTGTGGGCTTTATCTGCTGGGACGTGCCTGAACACACTCACCGGGCACACGGAATGGGTTACCAAGGTAGGAAGACAGTCTTCTTAATGTCGGTTTTTGGGGGGGGGGGGTGGAGGATGGTACTTGCTGCCTCGTAAAGGGTGGTGAGCCGTAAGATGGAATGAATGCAGCCGTAAAGCATGATGGTGTACCACAGTGACCAGCATGTAAAAGACATGCTGTAAGTATGAATGACTTAAGGATATGGAAAGATGCCCACAATGTAGTAGATGGGTCAAGTGGGCACAGGGAACAAATAAAAGAGGTCACGTACAAAAAAAATACTATATAGAGTATGATACTAGTTTCCAAATGTGTTTATGCACCAGAATGTTGAAGGCAATTTCTTGTGGGTGTTTTTTTCCCTTTAAGCTAGTATAATTTTATAAAATTATATTTAATTGATTGTGCTATTACAGTTTTACTGAATTTTTGCCCTAGGGCTCCTCCTACCTAGTACCCCCCACTCCCTCAGGGAATCCCACCCACCATTGTTCATGTCCACGGGTCATGCGTATAAGTTCTTTGGCTACTCCACTTGACATCTCTGTGTGGCTCTTCTGCAAATACCTATTTGTACTTCTTAATCCCAATACCTCTTCTGGCAACCATCAAAACATTCTACGTATCCATGATTCTGTCTCTATTCTTGTTTGCTCAGTTTGTTTGTTTTTTTTTAGATTCACTTGTTGATAGATACGTATTTAATGCCATTTAATTGTTCATAGTTTTGATCTTAAATAAGCCCCTTCAACATTTCAGATAGTAATGGTTTGGTGATGATGAACTCCTTTACTTTTTTCTTTAGTTTTTTAGTCTGGGAAGTTCTTTATCTGCCCTTCCATTCTAGATGATAGCTTTGCTGGGTAGAATAATCTTGGCTATAGGTCCCTGCTTTTTATAATTTTGAATATGTCTGGCCAAGCCCTTCTAGACTGCAAAGTTTCTTTTGAGAGATCAGCTGATAGTCTTATGGGAACTCCCCTGTAAGTAAATAACTTTTTTTTCTATTGCTGCTTTTAAGATTCTCTCTTTATCTTTAATTTTTGGCATTTTAATGTTGGTGTGTCTTGGTGTGGTCCTCTTTGGGTCCATCTTGTTTGGGACTCCGTGCTTCCTGGACTTGCACACCTATTTCCTTTACCAAATTAGGGAAGTTTTCTTTCATTATTTTTTCAAATAGATTTCCAATTTCTTCTCTCTTTTCCTTCTGGTACTCCTATGAAGCAAATGTTGGATTGCTTAAAGTTGTTCCACAGTTGTTCCAATGCTTACACTGTCACCATTTTTAGAGGTTTTCTTTTTCTAGTCGTTCTGACTGGTTGTTTTTGCTTCCTTATGTTCCAAATCATTGATTTGATTCTCGGCTTCATCTACTCTAGTGTTGTTTCCCTGTAAATTGTTCTTTTTTTTTTTTTTTTTTTTTTTATTGATTATGCTGTTACAATTGTTCTATTCCCCCTTTCATTCCCCTCCACCCTACCCCCCCCACCATTACCCCTCTTTAGTTTTAGTTTATGACCATGTGTCTCAAGTCCTTTAGATTCTATATTTCCCATGCTATTCTTGCCCCCCCCTTCTATTTTCTATCTACTGTCTATGCTACTTATTTTCTGTACCTTCTCTCCCCTTCTCCTCCTCTCACTCCCCTGTTGCTAACCCTCCTTGAGATCTTCATTTCTATGTTTCCACTCCTGATCTAGCTGTCCTTTTAGTTTGCTTTTGTTTTAGGTGTGGTTGTTAATAACTGTGAGTTTGTTGTCCTTTCACTGTTCATGTTTCTTTAACTTCTTTTTCTTAGATAAGTCCCTTTAACATTTCATATAATAAGGGCTTGGTGATGATGAACTCCTTGAATTTGATCTTATCTGAGAAGCACTTTATCTGTCCTTCCATTCTAAATGAAAGTTTTGCTGGATAGAGCAATCTTGGTTGTAGGTCTTTAGATTTCATGACTTGGAATACCTCTTTCCAGCCCCTTCTTGCCTGTAAGGTCTCTTTTGAGAAATCCGCTGACAGTCTGATGGGGACTCCTTTATAAGTGACTGTTCCCTTAGCTCTTGCTGCTTCTAGGATTCTCTCCTTCATTTTAATTTTGGCTAATGTAATTATGATGTGCCTTGGTGTGTTCCTTCTTGGGTCCAACTTCTTTGGTACTCTCTGAGCTTCCTGGATTTCCTGGAAGTCTATTTCCTTTGCCAGATTGGGGAAATTCTCCTTTATTATTTGTTCAAATAAGTTTTCCACTGGTGGCTGTGCCTTTCCCCCTTCTGGTACCCCTATAATTCGGATGTTGGAGCTTTTAAAGATGTCCTGGAGGTTCCTAAGACTCTCCTCATTTCTTTGAATTCTTGCTTCTTGACTCTTTTCTGTTTGTCCATCATTTGCTTTCTTCTGGGGCACTCCATTGATTTGAGTCCCAGTTTCCTTTTCATTGCTATTGGTGTCCTGTGCAATTCCATTCATTTCAATTAGTTTCACCTTCATATATTTGTCTAATTTGTGGGTATAATCAACCAGTTCTGTGAGGATCCTGATGACCAGTGTTTTAAACTGTGCGTCTGAGAGTTTTGCTATTTCTTCATCGCTTAGATCTATGGGCTCTGGAGCTTTGAGATCTTCTTGTGACATTTTTGGTCTGTTCTGGCCCTTTAAGTATGAGGAGGGGAGCCCTGGACTCCCAGGTCTTTGGGTTGTGACGCTGTATGTGGGGGCGTGGTCAGAGCGGGGAAATGGCTACCTCCTCTGCTGTTTCTCGCAGCTGGGTGAGGAGCAGAGGCTTAGGTGGTTCACCTGGGCCGGGCCACTCAGAGTCGCTGGGTTATGACGCTGTATGTGGAGGTGGGGTCAGAGCAGGGAAATGGCGGCGCCCTCCACTGCCGCTTGATGCGGGGACCCGCCGGGCCAGTCCATCCGCCCACTCCCTCGCCTGTCCGCCCGCGCACAAATGCGTGACCACAGTCAACACGCAGCACCGCTCCCCCGCTGTCTCCCCCTTGGTCGCTCGCCTGGTCGCTCGCTCGGTCGCTCACTAGGTCCAACCCTGCGCCTGGATTCCGCGTGTCTGGATTCCACGCCTGAGTCCGTCTGACCGAGTTTTCCTGTGCAACCCCGCTTCACCAGCCTCTGGTTTCGCCCCTTACCGGTCAGGCTGAAGAATTTGTTGTTAATGGACTTCCGAAAAGTTGAATTTTCCGTGTTCTGGCTGTGTTTTTTATTGCTAATATTTAGTTGTCTCTAAACTTGGTTGTGTGAGAAGGCACGGCATATCCACCTATGCCTCCATCTTGGCGGAAGTCCCCTGTAAATTGTTCTTTGTTTCAATTAGTGTATCCTTTGATTCTGACGGGATGTTTTAATGCTGTTGAGATACTCACTAAGTTCCTTAAGCATCCTTATAACTGGTGTTTTGAACTCTGCATCTGAGGTTGCTTATCTCCATTTTGTTTAGTTCTTTTTCTGGAGTTTTGAGCTGTTCTTTCATTTGGGCCATGTTTCTTTGTCTCCTCATTTTGGCAGCCTCCCTGTGTTTATCTCCATGTATTAGGTAGAGCTGCTTTGACTCCGTGTCTTGGTAGTGTATCCTAACCTGGTAGGTGTCCAGTAGGGTCTAATGGCATGGCCTCCCCTATCACGCAGGCTGGGTACTGGAGGTGGGCCCTTCATGTGGGCTGAGTACACCCTCCTCTTGTAGTTGATCCTTGGTTGCTGTTGGCAGATCAATGGGAGTGATTTACCCAGGCCACTCAGCTGTAAGGATTGGCTGTGACCACTTAATCACCAACCTAAGTCTTCCATGGAGGATCAGTCTTGAAGGGTCAAGGTAGTGCTCCAGTGTAGTCTGTAGTTGTCCATTGGGTGCGCTGGCCCTGGGGTTTCCTGTGTGGTGTAGGCCAAGGTAAGCCCCTACCTGTGTTTTGCCCAGGGCCACCCAGCCTGAGCTATAAACAATCTGAGATGGCTGCTGCTTATGCTGGGCTTGGATATTCCCTGGTGAAGCCACACTGTTAATCTAAGCTGGCTGCTGCTAATGCTTGGCCCGGGGCTCACTGAGGCCAGCTGTTGCTTGTTTGATTAGATTTAGGAAGTCGTGAAGCATAAGCCTAGACCATTTATTCATATAGATGAAGCTTGGCTGGGCCCATAAGTTGGGTGGGGTGGAGTGTCTGGGGGTTTCCAAGGCTGGTCAAACAGTGTTAGTCTCAGATATGGCACCAGCTTGCCAGCTCTGTGGGAGGAGGGTTTAGAAAAGAGACAATGGCCTCTGCTCTCCTTGATGCTGGACATTTTAGTTTCTTGTGTACCGGTGGTACCATTCAGCTGCTGCCCCAGTGCTGCAGCTCAGAGGGAGTGAGTCTGAATAGGTGATTCAGTGTGTGGGTTTTTTAAGAGGAACTGCTTGGGGCTCCAGAAATTTCTTCTATTGACTCAATCCCCATTGGTTTTTGCAGCCAGAAGTTGTGGGGACTTATCTCCCTGGCACTGGAACTCTGATCTGGGGAGCCTGGTGTGAGGCTGGGAGTCCTCACTCCTAAGATATCCCTCTTGAATTTTTACCCACCACATGTGGGTGAGGGACCAATCTGTTCTGCACCTGCACCCCTCCTACTAGTCTGGATGGATGTGGTTTCTTTAATTCCATAGTTGTCAGACTTCCATTCAACTCAGTTCTGATGGTTGTGAGTGATGGTTGTTCCATATTTTAGTTGTAATTTTGATGTGATTGTGTGAAGAGGTTAGCCATATCTGCCTACACCATCATCTTTAGTAGAAGTGTCTCCTTATTCCCTATTTTATTATTTATTTACTCATTTATTTTTAAAGATTGTATTTAAAATAAATTTAAGTAATACTTAAAAATTTATATTTAAAGATTGGTATAGATTTGTATTATTTTTAAAGGTTGTATTTACTTTTAGAGAAGAGGGAAGGGAGGGAGAAAGAGAGGGAGAGAAACATCAGTGTGCACAGTAAATCAATCAGTTGCCTGTCGCATGTCCCCAACTGGGGACCTGGCCTGCAACCCAGGCATGTGCCCTGGCTAGTCATCAATCCCAGCAACCTTTGGTTCACAGGCCAGCACTCAGTCCACTGAGCCACACCAGCCAGGACTCATCCCCTATTTTAAAAATGAGGAAACTGAGAAAGAGGCTAGATGGTCTTGTCCATGGTTACCAAGTCAATGTACGGAAGATTCTGGTAGTGCCTTTTCCTTTATAATGCACATGCTTATAAAAACAGATGATTTGAATCTACTTCTATGACTGTGGGCTTTTTTCTTTCCTGTTCTTCACATTTTCTATAAAGTAACATTTTGTAATTTTTAAAATTGGTCCTAATGTTTGCTTTCAGACTAAAGACTAGATTAAATGCTTCCAACATTAGGCACTTTTAGACCCTACTGATAATTTAGATATCCTGGTTGTAGTAGAACTCTTAGTAGAAGTTAACTGGTCATAGAGTTATAGCTCAGGTTTTTTAGCATATGATATCATTTCAAGCTCTTTCATATTTTAAGTTTTTTTTTAAACCATATAGGAGTAGCATTAAGAGGATCTTTCTATAACATGGATGTTTATATTTCTAGGTGGTTTTGCAGAAGTGCAAAGTCAAGTCTCTCTTGCACAGCCCTGGAGACTACATCCTCTTAAGTGCGGACAAGTATGAGATCAAGGTAAAGTTTTTTCTCTATTAGTTTGCCTCATCAAAGAAAAACTGGCAAATATAAGAACATTAAAATTAAATTAAGATGAAAATTTCAAGGTAGGTAGGAATGTTATTGTTTAAGCCATCTTAAACCCATTGGCAAGAGAAGCATGCATTATCTCTATGTTTTAGGCAGTTTCTAACCCTGATTTTTAAATGAAGAAAAGAAAATCCACAGAAAATCATCTTCAGTGCATTTTTTTTTTTACCCTCACCAAAAGACATATTTATTGATTTTTAGAGAGAGAGAGAGAAAGTGGGGCGGGAAAAGAGAAAGACATCGATGTGAGACAAAAACGTCAAAACATCATTGGTTTCCTCGTGTATGCACCCCGACTGGGGATAAAACCCAAAACCTAGGTATGTGTCCTGACCAGGGGTCCAATTTGTAATCTTTTGGCTTATGGGACAATGCTTTAACCAACTGAACATCCTGCCCGGGGCCATTCTGTTTTCTGAAAACATGTATCTTTTTTCCCTCTTCATTTCTTAGGTGTAACTATGAAAATATAAACATTTACTTGTAGAAGAACTTTAAAAATTGCAAAAAGTTAACAGAGCACTCTTAATACTTTTTTAGTGCCACTTTTACAGTGTTTCATGTGGTAGGCATTATCACCTTCATCAGGGAAACTGATGTTCAGAGAGGTTAAGTATTTTATCCAAGACAGCACGGCACCTACATGCAGAATCAGAGTTTGAATCCATGCCTCTCAACTCTAAACCCTGTGGTCTTTCCCGTTTACTTCAATTGGTTTCTGAACTCAGCAAATGAAAATTACATTAAGGACAAGATTTCCTAGGGTAATATGATCTGTCATGTTTCCTGATTTTCTTTTATTTGTAGATTTGGCCAATTGGGAGAGAAATCAACTGCAAGTGCTTAAAAACATTGTCTGTCTCTGAGGATAGAAGTATCTGCCTGCAGCCAAGACTTCATTTTGATGGCAAATACATTGTCTGTAGTTCAGCACTGGGCCTCTACCAATGGGACTTTGCCAGTTATGATATTCTCAGGTAGATTTCTTTGGACCTTTGTTTTTGACAGTTCATTGCAGCCCTTCCTTCCTTCCGTTTGTCCGTCACAGTTTAATAGTAAAGACAAGGGTAAATGTTGGATAAACCAGTCACTAACTTGCTTTTGGGAAATCCTTATGTCAGTTATAAATAGGATCATACCCTGAAAACTTAACATATAAAAATGATTTAGAGGCATAATTAGAAAAGGTTATATGCTAAAACCTTGACAGTCTAGTACCTAATCCTTTCCCTTACTCTGAGTCACTTCCTCCTTTAGAATTAAACATGCTTATCTGGAAAATGAGGGTTTTGGATGGAAAGATCTTTCATATCTCCTCTAGTTCTAATATTCTAATTTCTACTTCCTAGTTAGTTGAAATTATTCATTGAAGGATTGAGTGGCCTTCTGCTGACTAGTAGAAAGATGGGTATTTAGAGAAAACTACACTTGTAGGTTTACTTCTAGAGAAATGAATAAGAAAAGGTCCATGGACAAATAATTTGTGATTTCCTGCATACCTTAGAGCTCCCTTGGAGATTGGCAGTATCTAGTAGCACATTGGAGGCTGATGGAGGCCAGGACCTTATGGTGATTAAGGGAACTTACTTTGGTGACAGACAAATTTTGGTTTAAGACCTAGTGCCATCTCTCATGAGCTTTGTGAAATTATGTAACTTTGTTAACCTCTCTGTCTCAATTTCTCACCTATAAAGAATTAATGAAATGCCTGTAATGAGGACTTAGCAGAGGACCTGGCAGATACTTATTTTTATGAAAGCTCTGAGAAACCCTACATAAGGAAACCTGTGTGAATTTACACACCTAACATTCATAGTGCACAACCCTCCTGCCCATTTTTGAGGAGCACTCATTACTAACAGCTCACCGAAGTAGTGTTCCACAGCACGGTGGCTTGGGGAAGTACAGAAAATTGAACGTTGTCTTTGTTGTTTCTTATTCGTGACTGTGTGAAGTCAGCTTGTATGGAATCTGATCATACTAGCCGACAGGACTGTGGTGGACCCTGTCCCTCTGCTCATAAAGGTACAACCCCATTTACGTCTTCCTGGAGTCATACCTATGTTTCTAATCAATTATGTTTCCAAGCTATCTATGCTTTAAGGGAAAAAAGAGCAGAACAGATCCTAGAAAACGTTAGTCCAAGCTTTTCATCTTACAGATGTAGAGACTGAGGCTGAGAGAGCATAGGGGCATTGCCCAGCATCCCACAGCACACCTTGGTCTAGGGCCCACCCACCTCCCCACCTGTCCATCTACCATTTATCTAGTGGATGATCCATGGCTGGATCATCCAGCCGGCTTGTGCTTAAGATACCAGCAGGCCAGAGGGAAGGATCTTTTGAAAGAACTTGATACTTTCCAAAGAAAAAAATCCATGTAGTCACCACAGGGAAATCAGTGTTTTACAGTTTAGTATTATTTATGTTTTGAATTAAAATTTGCAAGGGAATGATGCAAAGACGAGGTAAAATAGAGATAGCATAGTCTTTTTTTGTGCTTAGAGTCTGTAAAGGCATTAATTTGATTCTTTCTCGTGTATGCTACTTACTCAGAACATACAGTATAGAGAGTCCAGAGCCCTGGCTGAAAGTTCTGTTAGGTTTTGGTGTTTGGATGCACTAGTTTTAAGCAATAAATTTACAAGATTGTTTACTGCTAGGAAATGGCTAGGTTCAGATATTTCTTTGAAAGGAGGCTATTTTATCTATTGCTTCTCCCCTCCCCCCCCCCAAACACAAAGAAATTAACTTCTTTTGAAATCTTTGTACAAATGCTATAGCCTCACGTTGCTAAGACCAGGCAGGGGCTACCTACTCTTTGAAGCTAATTGAGAAGAAGCATCGTACAAATGGCAGATGGCAGCATATTGCTTAAGCCATCTAAGATGCAGTTATTTGCTCTAGGTTATGTGAGTACAGCAGGCAGGGTCATTTAGGTTCAGTGGCCTAGACTGCACCACAGGGATGTCCTTTTACGGCTCTAAAGTCATCAGCAGAAGCTGCTGTGAGCTTGTCAAAACCTGAATTCTGTTCTGTAGCATATTTGTGCTTTAGTATTAGGAGTCAGCTCACCTTTACCAGGCTAAAGTCCTAATACCTGGCCACCCGTTTTCTAAGTTTCTGGTTATTTCTGGCTTTGCATCTATGAGGTGGGACTTACTAGACTTCTGTTTCTCCCAGTTTCTCTTGGATCTCTTGTAGGAATTTTTATTTGCCTGTGAGCATTGCATCATTGCTGTAGTTATTAGCAGATATTTATTGAGTACTTACCTATGTGTTAGGCATTATGATGTACCTTGGGAACCAGCAGAGATACAAACTCATAGAAATTACTAGCCAGCAGAAGGGAAGACTGACATTAAACAGCTAATTGCATACAGATGTTTTAATGGTTGGGCTAAGAGCAGCATAGTATTGGGTACTTTGAGATCCCAATTAGATTGAGGAGTAAGGGAAAGCTTCTTTGAGGAAGTGGTGTGGGCTGAGTATTTGCATTAACTCAGTGCCGGGGACACGCAATGAGCAATGTAGACTGAAAGAGCAGTCTCTTCAAGGCTGGGAGACTGAAAGAACTGGTGCATTTGAGGAACTAAAAGAAAACCAGTGGGGTGAGTTCAGTAGAGAGCCATAGAAGCGTTTAAAAATTTAAATGAGATGGATTAGATATTAGTGTGAGGTTAACTGAAAGGGGCCAAGAGTAGATGTGGGGAGACCAATTGAAAACTCTTGGCAGTAATGCAGGGGAAAGATGATTCTTAGATCAAAATTGTAGCAATTCAGATGGTAGTAAATAAACTAGGGAAAATTTAGGGGTGAAATCAATAGATCTTGGTGATTGAATTTGTGGTTTGAGTAAAGGAGGAGCATTGGATGGTTGTCCTGTTTCCCATCTTGAGCAACTGGGTGAATGAGCAACCAAGGAGACAAAGAAGGGACAGGTTTGGCTGATGAGTTCAGTTTTGGATGGGTTGAGTGTGAGAAACATGCCTTCACTATGAAGTCCCCTCCCTTTCTAGTATCATACTGAAATCTGCTTCTGTGCAGCTCTCCACGTTGGAGCTAGTACTCCCTTCCAGAGTTGTAACGTCTGGCCTCTCATACGTCCTTCACTGCTGCATGGTGATGAGCATGTCTGCTTTCCCTGTCCCTGCCAGTTCTCTTTCTCCCCCTCTCAGCTGATCTCCTTCAGCTGTTTCTTACTTTTCCTGGTTACCAGGCCCTGCCATCCTGGTTGACCTCTCAGACATAACTCTAGTTGGTAGTGTCCTTGTTACAACATAGGCTAACCTGGCTTTTCATGGGGCCCAAACTTACTGTCACAGAGCAGATTTTGTAGATCCCTCACCTGTAGCTCTTTTCCTATTGCCTCCAAAGAGAACATCACCTTTTATTGTCCATCTTTTACTTTACTAACTACAGATAATAGAGACCTTAGTCTTGTTTTGTTTTTATTTGTGTTGCTGTTTATCTAGATCTCTCCCATTTTGACCTTTGTTGATATTTTGGGAACTGTGAACCTAAGAAGGTTAAAGTTGTTCTTCAAACGTCCCCAGTTCTCTCCAATAAATTCTTGTGAATCTGTTATTAATGAATGTTTCTGGATTATTTGGGAGACTTTTCATATTTTCAGTCTCTACTGTTTTAGAGGGGAACCTATGCATGTTTGCTACCTTCTGAGAGTGCATTTAAGTCACTGGATTCTCATTCTTTGTTCAGGAGGTTCCCCTAGGTCAGTGTTCTAGGATTTCATAAATAAATCTTTTCACCCAGTAGTGAGAGTTGGGTCTTACATTCTAGTTCTATCTGGTAATCAACTAGTTGTGAATCTGTAGCTAAATTGTTTACCCTTGCTGGGCTTCAGTCTTTACATCTTGTAAAAGAGGATGTTAAGTGAGATAATCTGTAAGGTCCTTTCCAGCTTTGATGGGCATTTTGTGTTTTTATAACTGTTCATCGAATACTGCATTTCTCTTCACATGCCTTATGTTGTCGTATTATTATGAACTCTCCTCCCCCACCCCTGTTTTAAAGTAGGCTGAACTTCTTGTCTCCCTTTTCCTTTTTATCAAAAATGTTTAAGTCTCTAAATTTGCTTGACTTTTGTATTGCTTTTAAAAGTCTCCAGATTATATAGCATAAACAAAGATTATAGTAGCATAAACAAAAGCAAAGTTGCCTTCCAGTTCATGTTATTACTCTCATTCTTGTAGGGTCATCAAGACTCCTGAGATACCAAACTTGGCCTTGCTTGGTTTTGGAGAAGTCTTTGCCCTGCTGTTTGACAACCGCTACCTATATATCATGGACTTGCGGACAGAGAGCCTGATTAGCCGCTGGCCCCTGCCAGAGTACAGGAAATCAAAGAGAGGCTCAAGCTTTCTGGCAGGCGAAGCTTCCTGGCTGAATGGACTGGATGGGCACAATGACACGGGCTTGGTCTTTGCCACCAGCATGCCTGACCACAGTATTCACCTGGTGTTGTGGAAGGAGCACGGCTGACGCCACGAGCCACCACTGCTGGCCGACTTTGGGTGCCTGGGCTGCAGGTTTTGAGTGCAACCTCTATGGCGGCCGACTGCATGAACCAAAGTTCTCACTTAATGGTATCATCACGCAGTGCACAATCATTTATCTCTGTTTGCCAGGGGGCCAGGGCTCTGGGTGGGGGAGGGCTCGTTTTATTGACATACAGCGAAGCATGCTAAGGGGGCACACCATCGACTTCACTTGTACGTAGTTATGTTGGTCAGTATAAGAGGATGCATTTGGGGTTCATCTTTCTTGAATATTGGTTTTAAGTAAAGAAACTCAAATGATTTATTAATCTGCTAATTGGTTGCCTATAAAAACACGTTCATTCTTATTAAAGCTTTTTACCATCGCCTTTTTTCTTTTGAAGTTGAAGCAAAGGTGCTATGATGTTTTATAGTAACTTTTCTCACATGGGGCTTTGCTTTTGTAACAAGCAGTATTACGAAGACCACCAAGTCCTGTGACATTCAAAAACTCTCCACCAAACACCAGTTCTAAAGAAAGTTGGTCTTCTAGTACAAACCCAGTTCTATAAATTGTTTGTAATGTATTCTGATTCCTAGTTCTTGGCAGAGTCAAAGCTAGCCACGTCTTGAGCTGTGAGGAAGTTGTGTAGTTCTTGTGTCCATCTGGGGCCAGCTTGTCCTCGGTCTCCCACAGCATAGGTGACTGCACAGGAGGTGACATGGTGCAGCTGTAGGAGCACTGAGGTGGAAGACTGGACGGGCTCTGCTACCTAGGAACCCTGTGACCTCAGACGTGTCACACCCCTGGCCCTGATTCTCTGTCTGCACAGCTAATTGTTAAGTGATTTGTAAGATTCTTTCTGGTCCTGTATCTGCTGAGATGTCCAAAAGTTGATATTTTTGTTTTGTCTGATTACAGATTCATTGTTTCTTTGAGATTGGAGATAATATATCAATGAAATTACTGACACAAAGTAGTCATCTGTAAGGAAACCAAATATAGGAAGAAGATGGCTAAAAGGAGAGTGTAGAAAATGCACATACTCCACTGAGGATATGTAAATGATTGGTGGAAGAAGTGTGGATAGGAGTTGTGGTTCTGTACAGAGGCCGTGTTATCAGAAAGATACCTGACCCTAATTTTCCCCCTTAACTTGATGTATGTCCTCAGGCAGGTTTGCTTTCTGTCCCTGGGCCCTTTTTAAAAAAATCTTTACAATGAAGGAATTGCCCTTAATTAGGGTTCACAAGCTCACGTGTCCGGGGAGTTGCACAGATGACAGAAATGGGAAGCAAGCTGGGTGGGACTGTGCTGAACCGCAGAGGGCTCAGAACAGAGCGGGTACTCAGCTCGGAGCCTTAGGCGGAAACGAGCCCAGCCCGGCGTTCGCAGGTCTTCAGTTTTTTTCAGGAGGAACAGAATTTTGTTTGAAATTTCCTGATTTAAAAATGTTGACAACTAATTGAAGATAATTTCGAATACAGCAGGCTACACCAGTCATGTCTATGGGCTGCCAGCTGGTTTTCTCCACCCTCTCACTGCTGTAAAGTGAAAGAATGCTGTGTAATTCAGCAGTGGAAATGTTTTAACAAATTTGGCCATTCAACTGTCCCTTTGTATTACTGGGGAGCGGGGGGAGGGGGCTTGCCCCATTCACAGACAGGAAAGGAGTTTAAAGATGAACATAAGAACCAGACCCTCAGTGAGAGTCTCTGCCTGGCTCTGACCGTGATGCAAAGCATACCCCTTCTAGGTGGGAAAAGGGGTTCGCAGCAGAGCTGAGACTGATGCAAATTCTGCAGCATGTACACAGTTCTCCCAGGGTCTGAATTCTCAAGAGCCTGGCAATGAACCGACTGCTATGAAGTTTAGAAGATTGATGGTTTCAAGGACAGGCTTAGTTAATATCCATGGTGACACTAAAGGAATTAGGTAAAAGAACAGTATCTTCCTCCATCCCCTAAATCCATCTCATACTGAGTTCTATGTATAAACTCTGCTTGGTCCTCCAAGAAATGGAACCCGAATTGCAGCTGGAATCTATTTGGCAGGAGCCTCGGGAGACTGGGGGCAGTGATGAGGGTAAATGACTTTTTCCTTCTCCTGCAGCCTAAATAAGTAACTGAGATTACTGTTTCCATGACCATCCCCACTCCCGCCCCACTTTGCGATTACTCAGTAGACTCAAAGAGCGAGTCATTTATAATAGCCTTTGTGGGGGGATGTGTTTTGGAAATGACATACCTGAAACTTGTATGGTGTATCCCACTTCCCGTTTCTGTTGTGAACATGTGCGTCACCGCAGTGGCACTGAGGATGACAGATTCTGACAGTTCTGGAGGCTGGGGCTGGAGTCCTCCTTTGCGTCCTCCTCACAGCAGCCTTCACAGCACCAGAGCATTTTATTTAATTGCCTTGTAGTTAGATGTGGCCACACCATTGCCAGCTTTTATAAGAATGGACTACTAACTCATCCTTTAGAAAAATGAAGCAGAATGGGGAGTCAACAAAAGTGGCCAGGGGATAACCAGCTGTAGTTGCCTGGTGTCCTTTCATCGAGCTGGGGGCCGTCTTCTCCACACACTTGACGTCTGCTTCCTTAGCTCAGAGGTGAGGGTCAGGGCTTGCCTCTTCTCTTGTGACTGTTCTCATCTCTGAAAAATTCTTAAGTTACAGGCAGATGACTCCACCCTTATGTGTATTGTATATCTTGAATGACGCTGAGTTTGATGGACTCAAGGGCTTCTCCCAGGGCCCTAAAGGCGCGCAGAACAACCCAGGCTCCAGGGTGAGGGTCCTGGACAGCTGGGTGTAAGGTTTTTAGCAGACTGTGTTTCCATTTCAGTGGAAGCTACCATATTTTGCCATGTAATGTGCACTTTTTTTTTTGCCCAAAATTTTGAGAAAAAAATAAGGATGTGCATTATACATGGGTAGTACTAATTCTATATCTAAATGTTAATTTTTTAATTTATGCTTATGCAGTAAAAATGTAACTCTAGAAAGCAATAATGATATCCATTTGCAAAATAATACCCTGAGGTACAATAATCAGTTTTGTTCCTAAAAATTAATTAAGAAAAAAGTTAAAATGAAAGATTTTTTTCCCTGAAAGTTTGGACCAAAACTATGGGTGTGCATTATACATGGGAGTGCATTATACACAGTGAAATACAATAGTTTCCTCCAGCCCTGTTACCAGTGTGTCAAAACTGGTCCTAGGCCAACTTTCAGACCTAGTAGAGAAGTAGGAAGAAAGACCCTCCAGGGAGGGCTCAACTTGGAAGGAGCTCTGAAGGAAGGGTCCCATGTTTGGATAGCTTCTCATCAATGGAAAGTGAGAAATATTGTGTTACATTTTAAGGTTTGCACTTCATTTTTCAAAGTTTAAAAATTACTCTGTTCTGGCCATTGAAAATGCTTAAAATATGAATGAGGATTATGTAATCATTCTAGTGTTTGCTGTTGGGAGAATGATTTCTGCTCTGAATTTATAAAAAAGGGAGAAAAAAATGTTTGGAAACAGTATTATTTAGACATGAAGACATTGTTTCTGTTAGATTAAGCATTTTACCCAAAGTAGCTGAGGAGGATAGTGGAGTCTGGCTTTACACACCGCTCTGGCCAAACCCAGCCAGCTCCGTGCAGCTGTGCTCATGTGCCCTGGCTGCTTGGGAGCCTGGAGGTGTGTCTTCCCACCATCACTTCCAGTTCTCTGGGCCTCCTCTGGGCCTCTTGCAGGCCTCGGTGTCTGAATCTCTTGCTTTTGCTGCAGGGAAGTGTGCAGAATCAGCTGCTCCAGGATGCAACCTGGGGCAGGGCACACTGTCCCCTTTGCCTTTAGGGACACGGAGTTGGCAGGATAGGGGAGAAGCTCCTTTAGGTCTGTCCCCTTGAGAGAGCCTTTGTACCTGGTTCTGCTGGTTCTTGCCAGGACACATAAGACACTGCTGGGAGTTAGTCCCCAGATGGAGTGTCTGATGAAAGGACAGGTTAGCATTCTTGACAAAAATGCCTCCTAGCTGTCTCTGGCAGTGTCTCTGACCAGAGGTTCCCCATTCCCACTCTAGGAAAGTGAAATTTTTTCAGGATAAATCCTCAAATTGATGACTGGACAGTCTTGTACCATTCCCATCAGCCTGATCAGGCTGAAAAGGCTCATGCTCCCTGCAGAAAGGTGTTTTCCAGTCACGTCTTTCCACATTTTCCAGTCTTCTCTAGTGTGATTTCGTTGCTTAGTATTACGTTCCTGACTAGTGTAAACCCACTTAATTACTGTAGCTTAAAGAATCAGCTGGTTCTACTAGTCAGGGATGTGCACAAATAAGGTGTTTTTGCATATTTAAACTAGGCAAATTATTCATTCAGATGATACAAACTCCACGGTGTTTTTGGAGTCCCTATACCCAAATTGTGAACCAGATGTATTTCACTAAGGCTCAGGTTGAAATCCGCCAAGGCTGGTTTCCAATCCAACATCTATAGCCACGTGGTCATATTCATCAACTTGCATTTCACTAGTTCGATGTCCGTTGTGATCTAGGGGGAATGAGGTGAAGTTTATATTTGACCTGTCTGTAGGGTGGGGGCGGGGGAGTAGGGATTGGCTTCAACAAATAGTGGAGTGGTTGTGGTACAAGGTCTCTGTCAAGACGAGCCATTCTCATGCACCATAGAACTTTCTTTTACCCATGAGTGATCGTGCTAACTATAAGTCATTTATATCTATACATTAAAACAAGTTCCTCAATTAGGCAACATTTGGTTAGCCAAGCCCAAGTTATTGTTTGTACTTGAAAGTAATAAACCTGCATTTCCTTAAAAATAACATTCTGTAGTGAAGACTATTTTCTTGCTTCCCCATCCCCTCCCCCCACCACCAATTCAGAGGGGACTTTTCAAAAGTGAGTGTGCTTTAGAATGTGTTTTTGCAAATGGAACTGCCCTTCATGTGATCGGAAGTGGCTCTGTTCCTTTACACTTTCTGCAAGTACTGAAACGCAAGCCCAGCAATATCATGACTTTGAATGAGACCCAAGAGGGAAAACAATACATGTAAAAGTAAAATGCAAAGAAGGAATTTTGGCAACTCTGACCCGTGGATGCAAATGGGAAAAATAAAGCACAGCGACACAGGTCAGGTGGAGACCTTGGAACTGTCTTCCTCTCTCTTCCCTCCTCTACTCAGTGTGTGTCCGAGTTGGTTCATTCTTCTTCTTTTTTTAGAGAGAGGGGATGGGAAGGAGAGAGGGAGAGAAACATCAATGTGTGGTTTCCTCTCATGTGTCCCCCACTGGGGACCTGGCCTGCACCCAGGTGACCCTTTGGGAATTGAACCGGTGACCCTTTGCTTCACAGGCCCGTGCTCAATCCACTGAGCTACACCAGCCAGGGCCTTATTCTTAATTTCAATTGGTAGGGCCCCTTGTCATCAGACGGGGTCTGTGTACCTTTGATCCCCAAAAGCACCATTGCAGGGCAGAGTATCATTCCTCTTCCAGATGAGAAAGCTGAAGCTTAGAAATGGGCCTAATTAGAGGAGTAAGTGGCGAGGTGGAGGGCTGGGCTGTGACCTGTAGCCTTCACACCTGGGTTTTCCCTACTTTGGCCCCCTCCCCACCTCTCCCTGTTGCAAGTCTCTTGGGTTCAAACCTGGACTGCTGCCTTCCTCCCTCACCCCTGACGAGCGCCTGCTGGACCATCTTACATTCTGCCTCCAGGGCGTCTCCCCAGCCACTCCTCTGACTGCTGGATCCTTGGTTCAAACGATCTTGATGACCCCATTACCAACAGGGGGTGTCTAGACTTACCAACATAGCTGAGCCCCAGCTGCTCCCTTCCAACTGTTCTTGCTCTTCTCCTGCCTTTGCACCCTGGCTCTTCCTCCTCCTGGGACAGCCCTCCACGTGCCTCTCCACCTGCCTAGGGCCAGCCTTTAGGACCCCACTGACCTCCCACTATCATCAAAGCCTCTGCTATCATCCTGCACTCAGCCCAGCTCAACGCTTCTGTCTAGTGTAGTCATGCAATTTATTTTGCAGTTCATTGCCAAGTACCTTGTGCAGTTGGCAAACCTTTGATCCAGAAGTTTTTCAAAATCTGGGTGAATACCTCATCTCCCCAGCAACATTGTAAGATTGAGTTCTTTCACAATACTCAGTAAGTTTTTAATAAGTTATTTATTTTTATTTTTAGAAAGAGGGGAAAGGAGGGAAACATCCCACATGTGAGAAATGCATTGATCAGTTGCCTGTCGTGCTCCCCCAGCTGGGGGCCTGGCCCGCAACCCAGGCATGTGCCCTTGACTGGGAATCAAACCAGCGACCTGTTGGTTCACAGACTGGCACTCACTCCATTGAGCCACACCAGCCAGGGCTTGATAAGTTATTTTAGTGACTGTCATGGATTATCTCAGGGGCTATGTGTTACGAAGAAAAAAGATCTTTGAGAATATCGGCATTGAAGCAAAATGAAAGACCAATGAACACACAGCTCTTCCTCTCTTAGACTTCCCTGTTCTGCCATGTCCCGTAAATATCCAGTGTTCTGAGCGCACTGAGGCAGAACATGGGATGATCGTTTTGTGATTAGACGTGTGTAGTCCTTGCCAGTGGAAGGGCCCTGTGCTTTGTATTTGAACCACACGTTCTGTTCTCTTGGTGGTAAAATAAAGATAACACCAATTTATGGAGAGGATTACCCAGAGCTCCTGTATCATAACGATTATTAGGACTTCCAATCCTCATGCACATGATCACAAGTCCTCATTTTGTATTCTGTGGTCAGAAATGTGCTTCGAGTCTTTGCAGTTACCCTAGTGCTCTGTGATATTATTACCTGTAATTTGCTGAGCCATTCTTATTTGGATGGATCATTAGAGGGTGTCTAGTTTTGCTTTTTAGATAATGCTATGGACACATTTTTTTTTTGCTTATATTTTCTTAGAACATGTTCCCACTAGATGACTTGTTGGTCAAAGGAAAGGATATTATTTCTCTTAACTTTTTTTTTGTTACAGACACAGAAGAGCACACAAAACATACACGCACAGTTCACTCAACAGTTAGAGCGAACACCCATTGAACCACTGCCCAGGCCAAGAAGGAGCACTTCTGGCTCCCCAGAAACTGTGTCTGTGTCCAGGAGGAAACACTCTGTGGCTTTTGCTCCGTATGTATCATGTGGCTTCCCAAATGGAGTAAAGGGATTTATGGTGTTGCCTTGCTGGTTGGTGTGTGTATGTTGCAACACAACATCTTTAATTTTGAGTGGTTATTGTAAATACGTTTGTCAACTTAGCAGGTATAAGGAAAATATCTCAAGGTTTCTCTAATTGATATGTCTGGAACATATGAAGACAGATATTTGTATATGCACTCATTTGTATATCTTTTGAATTCTGTCTTCATCTTTTACCCATTTATTTTTATCACATTTCCAAATAATCTGGAAAACATTGAGATAGAGTCACAAATACAATTTCACTAATCTAGGCATCACTGTTTTAGAAACAATAATTCAACACAAGGCACACATTGAAACTTCCTTTCATTACATAAAAAGGACTGGTGTTAAGCAAACCCATCTACAATCCCTCTTTCCCTCCCAGGAACGAGTGCAGCGTAGGAATCCAGCGTAGTGGTTTGCTGCAGCGTCGGCCTTGCCTGTGCAAGGAGTTCCAGGAAGACGCAGCGCTGTACCAGAGAGGTCATCGGCAGGACTGGGCAGCTATGGAACCGGATCTTCAAAGTTTTCCTAATGAGGACGTACCACAGGTGATCCATAGTACTTAAAGGAAACTATGGGCAATCATGAATTAAAAGGTTTCTTTTCCCCAAATTAACTGTTGGAATTTAAGGGATTCATTCATCTAGAAGCAACCAAACAAGGCCCCAAGGGCAGACTCCTCCTAGTGGGTTACTTTTACGAATTAGTGGGGAGTCAGGGAGGGCCTGGCAGGCGTGCACGCGTCGGGCCTCTGGGGGTTCAGAGAGGCGGTTTTCCATCTGTGAGGGTGTCACAGGAGAGCAGACATTCCTGAGTTCGTTGGTCCAGCCGATTCAGCCATGCAAGGCCACTCTGCAGCAGGCTTATCATTCAAGCTTTAAGGGCTTGAAGATTGACCTCTCAGTGAGAGGAAATCAGTAAAACAAACAAAAACACGGATGAAGTCTTTGTGTCAACCTAAGGTGACAAAAGTGCCGAAAAAATAAGGGTTATTTTCTTCATTTCTCTTTCTCCCCTACAAGACTGTGTCTTGAGAACTGGTACAAAGTAAACTCAGAAGAATGGGCCGTTGATTAGTCTCCGTTGATTCTCAAAGTGTGGTTTCCTTTCCACACATGGGTGTCACTGGGGAACTTGGCAGGAATGCAAATTATTGGGCGCCGCCTTGGACGTAATGATTCAGAAATTCAAGCAGGGGCGTGGCAGGTGATTGTGGTGTCCACCAAGGTTGAGAACCACCGCTGTTAACCAACTCGTTCTGCCACCTAGTGGAACTTTTCAGAATAGCATCTGGCAATGGGTTGCATTCACAAGGACTTCCTCGCACTTAAGGTTACAGCCACCCCCAATGCGTTCCAAAGCTGGAGTTGCCTCCTACTTTACTTCCAGTTATTACAGGGCACGTGATGCCAAGACATCCGCAGGCAGTCTGCATACACTCATGCTTACTGTTTTGGAAATGCTTTTAATCTCTACTAAAATTGCTCTTACACACTGGAATATTACATTACATAGCTATTAAACAATGCTATGAAGATGAATAACATGGAAAACGCAGAAACATCAGTGGGAAACAGGTTTTAAAGTGGCATACAGCATCTTCCAAATGAAATGGTCTAACTCTGCATAGGGACAAAATGAACTACACCGGAAGGGTAATAGTGCTCCTTTCTTGGGGATGCGATTATAGGTAAATATTTTCTATGTATTGTTTGTATTTTCTGAGTTTTCTACAATGAGTATAAGTTATTTTTAAGAATAATACTTGGTAGTTATGTAATACAGCTGCAGGCATCGTTTGGCTGAAATTCCTTTTCTCTGGAAATATCGTGTCCCTGTTCTGTACTGGGCTTTGTGCTAGGGGCTGGGGGTACAGAGGTGAATTGTGTGTGGTTCCTGCTTCTGAGAGCTCATGGTTCTCTGGGGGTAGCGCACACACAAAATCCCAAGAAGGAAGGACAAAGAAGGGAGATGTTCTACTTACAGGTCGCAACCAAGGTGTCCCAGAGCAAGTCACCCACCATAAAGTTCCCAAACTGAGGGGATTATATTACTAGCTCATGGGGGTCTTCAGTCAATATAGGAACATGAAAGACACAGAATTTGAAGGCAAAATTGTTAAACAACAAAATTCAACACAAAAGTAGCAGGTTGTTGGTGGTAGCAACATAGGTTTTCAACCTCTGCATCCCCACCTAAAACAGCAATTAAATAGCAAGATGAGAAAACCAGACGATACTGATAACAGAACTAGGTGACAAGGTAACCCTACAAACCCCCAAATTAAGCAAATGGGGAAAAACAGAAGCTTCCACAAGAACAGCGTTTATGTAAGAGGAAAAGGGGAAAAAAGGAAGGAACAGAAGTAGGAGATGATGGACCTGAGAACAGGAGGACCCAAAAGGGGCAATGGGTGATCACTGAAGAGTGGAGCAACCAATTTGAAGACATCAGATGAAGCTGGGAGAGGTTCTGTCCAATCCAACAGTGGGTGGGTGCAGGGGCCTATGGTAAGAACACCTGAAAGGGCTGGAGCAGGGCAGCCCTTTTAAGCTCATGAGACTGACCTGCTGTCTTCTATGACAGGGTCCCACATTAGGG